TCTCTGTGAAATACGATTATAATCTATATTAATAATTAAATATATATATTTACATATTTTTTGAATATTTTTAATCAAATATCATTACTAATAAATTACTACTATTACTACTATTGTTATTATCATTATCACTATATAATATGATAGTGGTTGGGTTGGCAACAAAGATGTTAAAGCATTTGATAAAAAAGAAGCAGATGATAAATTGCAGGATTTAAAAGACACAAAACGAGATCAACTATTGGCTGATTCAATTCGTGAGGCCTTTGATCCTTCATCATTGGATGACGAAGAGGAAGATGAACTTCCAAAAAAGAAATCTAAAAACATCACTAATAGTCGAAAACCCAAAGGAAAAGGCACTTCTTCTACTCCTGCCAAATCTTCTAAAGCAAAAGTTAATAATAATAAGAAAGTAACTCCAACTAAATCGAATAAAACTGCATCAAAAGTAAAGGATAGTGGAGGAAAGAAGAAAAATGTTGCTAATGGTAGTAAATCAAGCACTGCTATCAAAAAAGGTAACGAAGAAACTCAAGAAACTGGTACTCGTAGTCGAGGTATTTTAAATATATTTTTCATCATATCTATTAATTCAATTAATTATTCAAGTAATAGTTAAATATTTATTATTTCAATATTAATAAATTTACTTGGTTTCTTTAAAAATCTGCAGCTAAACGTGGTAATAAAGTAACTGCAGGTGAAAACAAAGATGGTAAGGTTAATGGCACCGATAAGAAGACAAATAAGCGATCACGGGCTGATATAACTGAAGATACTGCAGAAGATGCTACTGGTAATGATGACGTAAATGGTAAAAAGAAGCGAAGAAATAATCCTGGCAATTCTGTTACTGCTACTACTACTGGTACCGTTGCTGCTGGGGAATCTTCTTCTTTAAGAAGATCAACTAGGCTTAACGGAAAGAGTGACGGTGACGAAGAAACTGTTGATAAAAAGATAATAAACAAGGAGGTCAAGACCACAAACAAAAGGAAAAGGGTAATTATTTAATTATGTATTTATAATGTTTATATATGTGCATATATATATAATATAAATGAATTAAATTAGGGAGACAAGAAGTCAACAGAATCAATAATCATAGCTAACGGAGAACAATCCGTTAATGATAATGATACTGATAAAAATGGCGAAGGCAATGATTCTGGCGAAGAGAAGGAAGAAGTCGAGGAAAACGGAGTAGAAAAAGATGTCACAGCAGAAGGTTCAAATACTCAAAAAAATGAATCTTCATAATCTTCATAATATTTTTTTATCAATATATATAAGAAGGGAAATTTTTTGTATTTATCAGATGAAATTATTTAGCTGGTTACTAATTGGAAGTTATTAATTGGGAGCTATTATTTGTTGTTAATTAATCAGTCGATTAGTTGATTGATTAATACAATATTTTAATATTTTAGTAAATAATCTTCAAAAATAAAAATTTTTTTTTATTATTTTATTATTTTTACATTTTATTTTACTTTACATTTTATTTTACTTTACATTTACATTCACTAGTATATATGATATTAATAAAA